GCCTAGGTAGATGTATGCCAGGCGCGTCGCAGCGTAACAGTGTTTCGTGAGATATCGCGAAGCCTGTTACGCGAGACGTGGTCTGGCGTACATCTACCAAGTTATTAGACAGTAAGCCTCAGTTTCAAATTACATACAAACATATATAAATGTCTTGAACTCTTACCTTACCGGTACTGGCATTCCCAGCTTGCTGCTCTGGAACATCCTCATCAATGGAATTGACTACCCTCCTCCTCCTGCTGAGAACTGCTTCCTCCGTAGAAGTAGGGGGTTTGCGCTGTCTGGAACTGCAGCGAAGGGCTGATTGTGGGGCACGTTCCTCATCCTAAATAAAAAATCAACATAAAAGACATTTACGAAGTCAGATTACATTCATCATTCGACACACATGACTCAATCAAATTTAGGATGAAAATTACTTTCCAGCCAATTGCTGGCCTTGGCCGATCCTCATCAGAATCAGGCGCTTTTGACAGTGTGAGATCAGTCAAAAAAGTTTTGCCCCCAGCTGCCAATAATGAAGTTCTGAACTAGCCTCGCACGGGGCCCCAGTCTGTGTGCCTTGCCGGCGGCCGGCACCCAAGAGTGCGACCCTGTCCACCTCGGGTTTTCAACAACTCATTAAATAATAAAGCATTCCGGTAAAGCTTAAATGCAGAAGAAAGCTGGGAAAAAGAAAACGGAAGTTCCATGTAAAAGCATAGTGATTTTTGACGCGGTCCATGGTGTACGGGCCGCGCCCGGCCCTGTTGTGAGCTGTGAGGGCCCCTGCCAAGGAGTTGGCTGCAGCTTGACGCCAGGGGGTCTGGGGTGAGGGGGGCTCCTGGAGCACCCCATCAGCTGCCGACCGCAGGGCGTTCACCAGTTGTACCCACGTGAGGGGGTCCCGGTGGTGCGCCGCCTGTGCCGTCAGTAGAGCTCGCAGGGTCCCGGTGTACTCCACCTGGAGGGCCGGGTCCGTGGTGAGGCGCTGGAGGGCCCATGGGATCTTCGGGCGGAGGGGGTGAAGCACTGGGGGGATAGCCGGGCGCCGGCCACAGGGGAGGAAGGGTAGCTGCGTCGGTGGCGAGAGGACCGTGACGATGAGCCGATGATCGGACCGCTTCTCGTAAGGGGTGACTGCCTGCACCCGTGCCACTCGGGGGGAGGTAGACAATACGTGGTCCAGCTGTGGGCTAGTCCTGCCCTGGGTGCGCGTGACCAAGCCGTGCAGGGCGTGGCGCCTGGTGGTGATGATGGGCAGCTCCGCCTGACCTGCAAGCTGCACCAGTGCCACTCCGGCGTCGTTGCTGGCCTGGTGGTGGAGGCGAGTGCCGAGCACCCGGCTGGGCTGGGTGTCATCTTTGCCAATGTGGGCATTGAAGTCACCCAGCACCACCCGTCACGTCTGCGGCGGCGTAAACCGCGACGACCGCGGAGAGAGCAAGGAGCGCTGCCGCCTGCCCGGCGGCGTGGGGGATGTGTGC